TGTGTAGTATTTATACATTTTCTATCCACGGACAACATGCTTCTAAGATTAATATTATTTTCATGGATTCATCATATTTTATCTATAGCTGTGCTACAGTTTTTCATTAAAATGTCTTTTCTGTTGCTGGAATTGAAGTAAGTCCCACACAGAGCTGGGATCATATGTCTTTGAAATATAAATTATGCAAACGACTGGAACCTTTTGTTCCAATATAAAACGTTCGTAACGCTACGACATTCGCATGCCTATGATAAACTATAGAGTTTGCCTCAACCTAGCCTAACAACTAGTCTCTGAAATGAACATATTTTACTGAAAAAAGTTCAAAGTAAAAAATAAAAAATAATATAATGAAAAGGAGCCCTGAGACTTTCTGTCAGCCTGAAGCTGAGGAAATCTAGACTTGCCACATTTTCTAGACTTGCGTGGGCTTTCTTGGATATATTTACTTCAGGGTCTGTACGACAGACTAGCCTCAACCATTGACTGGATTACATTCTCTTCGTCAGCAGAGAAATTTCGACTTCTCTTTATCCTTGGGGTGCAGGCGACATTTTGCGTTTCCATTTTTGGTAAACCGGAAGTAAACAGAAAACGGAACTATGGGATATATGGAAGCTAACCAGTGACGTTAACCACACTGTTAAACTTTGACGGCGACGTTAGCTAACGGCATGACTAACGATGTTTTGAACAACGCATATTTAACGTTCGGTTACCTAACGGCCGGTTAAGGATTTAACCGGCGGTTAAGATAACCGAGTATTGAACAACCGGGCCCTGATCTTCTCCTTGAGAAAAATAAGCTATCTTCCTATCGCAGATCCAAGACATACGCCACAGATGAGCGACCTTCTGCTGACAATATCGGGGCGACGGGTGTCACTGTCTTGGTTATTGTGACTGACGTCCTTGTTGCAATAGATATAAATATTCATCAGATGTGAAAATAAACAGGCCAACAAGAGGATAAAATTTTAAACAAGCAGAATCCACAAAAAATTACTTGTTGAAATGGTTAATCGACTTATATCATGTGTATATTACACAGATATATTGGACATTTTATTCCATACTGACATTCATTACATTCAATCAATACTGTGAGTTTTCTGTTAGATATGTTACCCACATGTCTGATAATACCTAAAATTTCATACTGTTTAAATTTATTTATTCATTCATTCATTCATTTATTCATTTATATATTTATTCATTCATTCATTCATTCATTTATATATTTATTCATTTATTTAAGTTTACAAATGCCTTTATTTATATTTTACATTTCCGATCAACATGATTACGTATTCGAAAGCCCGTATTATTTATTTAATTATTTATTTATATATTATTATTTTTCTTTCTTTCTTTCTTTCTTTCTTTCTTTCTTTTTTATTGTATTTTATTTTTATTTTATTTATTTATTTATTCATTCATTCATTCATTTATATATTTATTCATTTATTTAAGTTTACAAATGCCTTTATTTATTTTTACATTTCCGATCAACATGATTACGTATTCGAAAGCCCGTATTTATTTATTTATTATTCATTCATTCATTCATTCATTCATTCATTTAAGTTTACAAATGCTTTTATTTATATTTTACATTTCCGATCAGCATGATTACATATTCGAAAGCCCGTGTTTGAAAAAAAACATGTATGTAACATATAAACTAATCTAAATATTAATTTATAGAGAAAAGTACACCCTCGATCAGCAAATGTGGTACTTAATGAACCACACTTAGCTGCATCCATATGAACTATAAGAGGTATTTTTACATCAGCATAATTCTTTATCAAAATGCCCCACAAATAGCACACTGGTGTTTGAATAGACAACACGCTAAAGTATGCACTGCACCACTTGTCGCAAACAAAGATAGACTGGAAGACTACCGGAGGTTGATTTATCCAGCATGACAAGGTTGCCAGTAACTGAAAGGTTCTATATTGTGGTTACTAACAGACGATGGGAACGTTGTCTGAAAGTAGAATAACCACAAAGGAGTCTGAGATCTGAGTCGAATTAGAAGAGTAAAAAGTAGGTTATATAAATGAGTTAATGTTTCATATTATAAAACACTGAATCACTATTTAGAAACCATTTATTCCAATGTTGCTTTGATACAAACAAGGCTGGTAAAAAGGTCATTTTTTATTTCAATACAAAAGTAGGTGATTTCAAAATTAAAGAGATACTTCAAACAGCACCACACCAATGTTTATTTGTTTGTTTGTTTGTTTGACTCCGCACTGAAAATTGTCTCAGCTATTTAACAGCATTCTGAACATAATCGAGTACGGAACAGACAATCCGGTGATTGAGATCATGGGCACAGATCAGTGCTATTGGGATACGATGACATGTGTCAACAAGTCAGCGAGCCTGACCAACGATCCCGTTAGTCGCCTCTTATGACAAGCAGTCTGACATTACAGGTACCTTAGCAATGATGTAACATGGTAAATCTAAGAAGCTCTCGTAAAATTACAATACGATGTTATACCAAATTATCAAAGAATATTTCACCTCATATGCTGAAAATTTAATCATACTTTGATTTACATGGATTTCTTATCTTTAGGACTTTAAATTTAAAAAACCTTTGCTAAACTTAACAATACATTTTTGTCAATACTCGACATGATTCTAAGAAAACTGTCCATAGAAGGGCTATTTCTTATATTAGGATGAAAAACACTCCAGTTTTACAGCCTCATGACAAATCGTTAAGACATGAAATTCATCTTCTACAATTAATACATTTTACTGTGATAATGAAAACGAAGCCTCTCGCTAGCAATAATATTACAATGCCTTCCTGTTTCAGTTGCTGGGGCGGTGGGGTAGCCTAGTGGTTAAGGCGTTCGCTCGTCACGAAAACCCGGGTTCGATTCCCCACATGGGCACAATGTGTTAAGTCCATTTCTGGTGTCCCCCGTCGTGATATTGCTGGAATATTGCTAAAAAGCGGCGTAAAACTAAACTCACTCACTCACTCACTGTTTCAGTTGCTAACCTGAAACTGTTACAAAGAGCAGTTAGATGCAAAGGAATGTCAACTGAAAGATACGATTCAACATGCAACATAGTTTTAAATTGATAATAAATTTGACACTTGCTCAACTGTGCCATTGTAGACTCAAGGGTTACAAAAACCTCTGTTTCAAAAGAGAAATAAACATTGCCAATGTCATGACACAGGACTCCAAAACCAAATTGAAACAAGATGTTTCTCACATGATAATCTCAGGTGTTTCTACACGCATCGTCTAAGTTCTTGAGCATTAAATAAGACTGACAAGGTAATTTATTGTAATCTTATTTGCATTATTCTACGCCAATATTCTTTATTGGTTTTAACATATAATTGTATTGGAGCGCTACTCTACCACATTCACCAAGTGTCGTGCCATCACAAGTAGTCAGTAGGCAGTAGCCAGTACTCAGTAGGCAGTAGCCAGTACTCAGTAGTCAGTACTCAGTAGTCAGTACTCAGTAGTCAGTACTCAGTACTCAGTAGGCAGTAGCCAGTACTCAGTAGTCAGTACTCAGTCAGTACTCAGTCTCAGTAGTCAGTACTCAGTCAGTAGGCAGTAGTCAGTACTCAGTAGGCAATAGTCAGTACTCAGTAGTCAGTACTCAGTCAGTACTCAGTCAGTAGTCAGTACTCAGTCAGTAGGCAGTAGTCAGTACTCAGTAGGCAGTAGTCAGTACTCAGTAGTCAGTAGGCAGTACGCAGTAGGCAGTACTCAGTATTCAGTAGGCAGTACTCAGTAGGCAGTACTCAGTATCCAGTAGGCAGTACTCAGTAGGCAGTACTCAGTAGTCAGTACAATACCACATTTAACACTCAATGTCAGTTATTACATGTTACCTTAAACCATTTCTGGTTCTTGCTGGAATATTGCTTAAAGCGGCGTAAAACCATACTCACGTACTCCATAACAATACGATTTTCTGCTAAAATAAGAGGCCGTTCTATGATTCCGACCATTAATAAGCATTTCTTAAAGCCTAAAAATATTAATAAAAATCTTAAGAGGGTTACCAAGTACGTTTGGGCAAGAGTTCACAGTGTATTAAGTACTGGTACCTAGTAATGATGAAGCCGTTTCATACGTTCGACTAGTTTAACATAAATATTTTAAATAAAAAGAAATACACATTTACTTTGAATTTCGATAATAGGAGGAATTTCTATATGGCTTTTGCATCAGCATCCTCGTGTATGAATTGCAGAGAATACACAATATAATTATATAATACAACAAAATTGTATCCGGTTCCAGATCAGTTAATTCCCCTAACCCCAGCCTCCCATCCAACAACCATTAACATTAGTTGTATGTACATCGGTAGATCATTACTAGACCATAGACCAAACGAGCAGATACAATGATAGCTCACCTCAGCCGTAGTAAGAACCTTATGAATAGTTATTACCCCATCATTAGATGTGATCTTATTGTAACTAAAATATTTATATTACTTTCACCTGGCCGACATCAACAGAAGACGCTGTATTACCGATCGCTGAATATTTCACATTTTTATTCCAAATTCAAATTATATTTCACTTACTTATTCTTTTGGCCTTATCAATATATGTCTTTTTCCTTACTTAAAATCAATATAAATGACAATAAGTACATAGCTACTTCTATTTCAATAAGAACACTGTATATGGTGATTATTAGAAAGCATATCTGGATTTCATTTGACTGCACTGACATATATACTTGAAAGCACTCGAACCACTATTAAATATTAATGTTAAGTTGCTTTTGTATCCGAAATCATTGGCAACAAATACGTTTTGTGGGGTGTGGAGAATGTATCAGCAGAATATCTTTGGAAGAGGATTTCACCAACCATATCCGATCATTTATTTATCGTTAAGTGTGAGCCTTGTGTTTAAACTTTAATCATACACTGTTTGGCAGGGCATTTAGAAGCAAGGCGTTGGTCGGAGTGGCGACATGATTGAGTCATTAGCTGTGATTGTTACGACTGATAATTGTCCGTGGGAAAAAGAACGATAATTATTCCAGCATCCGAAGACTCCATCACTGGCTGTCTCCCTTGTGTCATCTTTCTTATTAGAAGTCAATGACAAAGCAGATTAATAACTAGTTGGAAGTTCCTTGTGAAATCTTGCAAAAGATTTGAAAAATTAAAGACGTTAATCTTATTCTTACGGTAATGACGAGTTACGAGGTATTCATTGGCTAGCCCATTGGCGTTAGAAATGCAAGTATATATTCAAATAGGTGACGAATGCATTGTTGAGAATATGACGGTTCCCGGCGGTTGTTTCTTCACATTGATAAAGGAAGAACTGAGTGCTTGGGTGAGGGAGGAAGAAACATACCGTCAGTTGAGGAAACGCTCACTTGGCCACTGAAGTAGATACGGGGAGCGGCGGGCAGGAGACAAACTCTCAAGTGACAAGTGAGTAAAGGAGACAAACTTTCAGGTGACAAATGAAGAGAGGAGACAAACTCTCAGGTGACAAGTGAAGAGAGGAGACAAACTTTCAGGTGACGAGTGAAGAGAGGAGACAAACTCTCAGGTGACAAGTGAAGAGAGGAGACAAACTTAACGGCGACTTGTGAGGAGGGGGAGAGCAACTTTACGGTGACTTGTGAGGAGAGGAGGGAGGTTTTAGGAGGAGACACGCCCTGGGGAATATTTAACGTCGGGAGGTAAGCGAAACCTTGGTTTTCGTTACCTAAATGTGCTACTAATCAATAGAATCGTTGACATATCATCATCACCGATAGCTTTATTAAAATAACTTTTTAATTTAATTTCCATGTGTATATTTACGACGAAGAACTGAACACATTATTGAAAAGTAGACACAAGTTATGTATAACAACTTCTTTCATATACTGTTAAATCAGACGCAGTTTATGGATAAATAGACACCCAAATTGAATTTTAATTATCCACAAACCTAATGTTTTGTTTGGCTTACATTTTAGGTCAAGATCTGCTTGAAAGGAGTTATAATGTTGATATAAAATATCGAGGTGGAAAGATCGGCATTATGACGTCATTATCGTTGAATAACCTATTTGGTTCAACAACACTTGTTGGATAACTTTCAACTGGTTACACAACACCTGTTTGAAATAACCAACATGATCTCATAAAGATATTCAGAACACGTGTGTAATAATGACAGATACCCAGCCTGACGTTATCACAGCAGTCACTGGTGATACGATGTGTAATATGTGGGATCTACGAACTAGTGTGCTTGTCTTTTCTTTGATTTTATTGATGTAAGAAAGAGATTTTAGATTTTTTTATTTTTCAGTATGAGGTTCCTCGACGTCGGAATCGATTTTCTTCTGATCCAGACACTCACAGGTAAATATAACATGAGGGGTAAACAAAACTATAGATGGTTTTGTTTCATTTTCATGTCTTTAGAAATATCATCAGTTATGCATATTGTATTAAACCTTAACTGTACATAATCAGACCTTAGATAAAATTTCTATTTGGTCGTTTTTTAAACATATAACTTTAAAAAAATTGTTTTTCACATTATTTATTTATTTATTTATTTATTATTCAATTATCCATCCATCCATCCATCCATCCATCCATCCATCCATTTATCCATCCATCCATTTATTTATTTATTTATTTATTTATATTCATTTATTTATTTATTTATTTATTTACCCATTTATTTATTTATTTATTTATTTATTTATTTATTTATTCATTCAAACTACCCAGCGTTATAGTATTTTCAAATTAATTTCTAAACCCACTTTTTTTATGAACCATTGTATATATCACAAACTACCCATCCAGCCACAAAATACAGTTTTTACAAACTGTTGCAGGAAAGTGTAACGATTGAACAGACATAATAAATTTGTCAACAGTTGACTTTTTTCTCAATCTTTTGCACGTCAAGTCATGTAATGTGCATTATTTCCATTACCCTTCCACAAATATTGACGTTTTACATTGGTATTTGTATTGAGACAGAGTTATACGTTGTGCAACAATATGTCACATGCTATACATCGTACCTGTGGATTCAGTTAGGGGCAGTAATGTGCTGTATTTAGACTTGGGCTAAAACTAATAGAAATATCCCGTGCCCTTGAGAATATTACAGAATGGTCAGGAAAGTTTATTCCAGAATCATCTGCCTTAGAGTAGAATAAATATTTTCGGGCATTCTTTTCCTGTGTATAAACACCTTCGGCAGTAAATATTCAAAAGGAGCTGGTTATTGAGTCTCATCCTCTTCCTACACTGGTATAAGGGGAGCTGGTTATTGAGTCTCATCCTACATCTGCAGTCACAAGATTACCACCATTGTTGTGTGATCACTTTAAACTCTCGATTACTGTTGCTGGGAAGTGAATATACTCCTCACTGGCATTTATTGCTATAATCACAGCCCTTGTACTAAACTGACTCTGATTTTGTACCGAAACACTATTTTCGCTCTGCCATAATGATGCCTTTCTACTGAATTATTATTGGTTTCGTTAATTTTGGAATACAATTGATAATTACAACACATTTCTTCCTTGCTTTTTGCTTTGTTTTTTTTTTTGTTGTTGTTGTTGTTGTTGTTGTGTTTTTTTGTATATTTGTTTGTTTGTTTCACGCGTTCCCCTCTTACGGACTTATTCCCAGTTAAATAAATTTTGTTTAGTTTCAAGTGGGATTCAACTCGTATACTATTTCATAATATATAATAATTATACTTTTTCTATTGTTTCAGAAATTGTACTGTCCAACAATACCATTGGTCGAACTTACACACTATTTCCGGCCAAACAGACCTGGAATGAGGTCCAGGACTTCTGCGTCACTTCCGGTTCCAGCATGCTCAAAATCGGTTCTGAGGAGGAGATGGAGGAATTCAAGCAAATAATGAGTACTTGGGAGAATAATAGTCTGTTGTAAGTACCAAGAATTGAATAAGTTCGGATTAGACTTTTCATGAACACTTGGCTCTACTACTATTTGAATGTGATTCATAAACACATGTTTTTGATATAGTCATAATCGTACAATAGACTCTGTTTTTATGCACAGTTGCTTTAAAAACTGTGAAAATGTTTCGCTACTTATTTATTGAAACGTTACTTAGTATCGCCGCATGTGAAGTCCATTTCTGGTGTCCCCCGCCGTGATATCGCTGGAATATTGCTAACAGCGGAGTAAAACCAAACTCACTCACTCACTATTTCTTGATCTGTTCAGAACGGATTACTTGTGGATGGGCCTCTACCACTCCAATCTGTACGATGGCAGCAACGTTGTTTACCAGTGGCAACAAGACTGCACCAACCTCAGCACCTACACCAACTGGCGCCTCAGCAAGCCAAGCGACCAAGACATCGACCACTGCGTGGCTGTAACCCTGGAAGGGAAGTACAGGACCCGTCCCTGTAATCAGCTTTACCATACTGTATGCCAGGAAAATGGTAGGAACTTTTTATCTATCTCTTCGAATGCATATTTCGTATACCTGCAGCTAATGCCATGTTTAATTCTCTTTATCAAGCGTTATATTTTGTATGTCAGTATCACATTATCATCCCTTTATCAAACATGTTATTTTGTATGTCAATATTACATTATCATCCTATTATCAAACATGGTATTTCGTATGTCAATATTACATTATCATCCTATTATCAAACATGTTATTTTGTATGTCAGTATCACATTATCGTCCCTTTATCAAACATGTTATTTCGTATGTCAATATTACATTGTCATCCCTTTATCAAACATGTTATTTTGTATGTCAGTATCACATTATCATCCCTTTATCAAACATGTTATTTTGTATGTCAATATTACATTATCACCCCTTTATCAAACATGGTATTTTGTATGTCAATATCACGTTATCATCCATATTTCAAGTATGTTACTTTGTATGTCATCATTACCATTTACATCGCATTTTCAAGAATTTTCTTGTATGCGTTATTCCATAATTCATAACAGCCATTGTGGTCGACGTTTTGTTATAAAGCATGGCCGTTATCATGGTCATACATTCAGCCTGTTTCCGTTCAACACTTTCTCGACCAGGGGCAATGGGGAGTATAGAAGGTTAACCATTCGATTACCCTCACCCTCTATACAAATGATTCCTAGGTGTCCCCTGTCATGATTCTGCTGTAACAATTGTCACTCACTCACTCATACTACCAATTCCACATATTCACCCACATACTCACAACCATCCACTCACTCACTACCACCTATTCCACCTACCCACATTCAACCACTCACTCAACCATCCACATTCAACCATTCACTATCTCATAACATCTATTCCACCTACCTACACATTCAACCACTCACTCATACCACCTACCCACACATTCAACATTCAACCATTCACGCCGCCTATTCACATTCAACATCCACTCATCATACCACCTACCCACACATTCAACCATTCACTATCCATAACATCTATTCAACACATTCAACCACTCACTCACGCCACCTTCCACACATACCATTCACCTCACTCATACCACCTACCCACACATTCAACCATCCACTCACTCACTCATACCACCTACCCACACATTCAACCATTCACTATCTCATAACATCTATTCCACCTACCCACACATTCAACCATTCACTCACTCACGCCACCTATTCCACACATTCAACCATTCACTCACTCACTCATACCACTATTCAACCATCCACACATTCAACCATCCACTCACTCACTCATACCATCTACCCACACATTCAACCATTCACTATCTCATAACATCTATTCCACCTACCCACACATTCAACCATTCACTCACTCACTCACGCCACCTATTTCAACCATCCACACATTCAACCATTCACTCACTCACTCATACCACCTACCCACACATTCAACCATCCACTCACTCATTCTCACACACCTGTATTAACCACCAGGGCCGTGTAAGTTTGAGAAGAACAACGGCGGCGTCTTCCTATACAGCGAACTGCACTCGAAGAGTGCATCAGACATGAGCATATGCGAACAGGAGTGTCTGAGCAGAGTGGGGACCGTTTCTGAGTGCATAGCTTTTGTATACAAGGCCAACAGGTGTGACGTGTACGTTCTCAACACAACGTTTCTGATTGTGCTCTGTCCGTCCCCAGAGCAGCTCCGTGACAAGACCTGCTACACAGGTACAAGTGACGTGCCAATGTTTGGGGTTTTGTTTGTTTGCTTGTTTGTTGTTTAACGCCGCACTCAACAATATTTCACGTACATGGCGGCGGTCTGTAAATAATTGAGTCTGGACCAGACAATCCAGTGATCAAAATCATGAGCATCGATCTACGCATTTGAGATACGATGGCATGTGTCAACCAGGTCAGCGAGCCTGACCATCCGATCCCGTCAGTTGCATCTTAGGACAAGCATGGGTTGCTGAAGACCAATTCTAACCCCGATCTTCGGGGGTCTCGTGTCAGTTACCCCTCTTTGTTCATACAATGAAACACTAACTTCTCGAACCATCGAAAATATATTTCGTCATATCAGAATTTCGAGACAAACTGAACACTGATATTTAACATCGGAATGTATCAAACAAGACATCGAGTTTCGGAAGTTCGAACTAATCCAGGTTACGCTGTGTTAATCTTTTGTTGCAATAGAAGGCATTATTTTCAATGTGTTTTGGCACTTAAAAACTGAAATATATTTTGAGAAATGTGAAATGACGGGTAAAATTTTCCTATTTCTCTTAAATGTGGTCTTCATTTGTTCGTTTGTTTGTGTGTTTGTATTTAACGCCGCACTCAGCAATATTCCAGCTATATGGGTGCGGTCTGTAAATAATCGAGTCTGGACCTGATAAGCCAGTGGTCAACAGCATGAGCATCCAATTGGGATATGATGACATGTGTCATGGTTGCTGAAGACCAATTCTAACCCGGATCTTGACGGGTTGATCAGTTTGTCATCCGAATGAATGTATGATGTGATTGTTGTTTTAACGTTATCACTGACACTCCTTTCTTCCGTGTAGGTGAGATTAATTCCAACGACATCGTCGTCACATCCAACAAAAATCGCCAACCCGAGGACAGGTGCTACCAAACAACAAACTACACAACGACTGTTACGACAAGTAGGCACAATTATGTTCATGTAACCTTTGATTGCCCAGTGTTCTCTTCTGATAAATATAGCTAGATCTATTCGCCACCATTATGTCACGTAGTCATCTCTCTATTTCCCAGGTGCCTGAAGTGGACAAACAATATGGCTATTATTCATGTATGTCTATAATTTATGTCAATGAGAATTGTAGGCAACTGAGTGAGAAATACATTCAATTTTCTCTTTTTGCATACAGTCGAACCCCGTATATCCGGAGAACCCGCCTTCCGGAATATTGGTTTCCCTTGAAATACGAGTTTTAAGTAAAATGTGTAATATCTTTAAATCTATATTTCTAAAGACAATTTGGAATTCCAACATTCATGGCAGAAACATAGGGGTGGGATAGTCTTGTGGTTAGAGCGTTCGCTCGTCACGCCGAAGACCCGGTTCGATTCCCACATAATAATAATAATAATAATAATAATAAGTCATCTTCTATAGCGCACAGTCTCCAAACACCAAGTGATTGCTCGCGGCGCTTAATCAGAATCTGATTCTTATTACCCCGGATAACCCAAGCTGCCTGTTAGGCGCTAGAAGGTTATAGTCACATGACTTTATCCCACCGGGTACCCATTTTTCTGCTGGGTGAACAGAGGCAATTTGAACAAACTCACTTGCCTAAGGTGAGACCACATGCATCACATGGGTACAATGTGTGAAGCCCATTTCTGGTGTCCCCCGTCGTGATATTGCTGGAGTAGTGCTGAAAGTGGGGACAACAACAACAACAACAACACCCCACCCCACCCCCACCCCTCACTCGCTTCAGGTTACACACAACCAAATGGTTTTCCATAGACTTCTATAGCAACGTTATATTTTCTTTTAAATCACCCAGGCTGTCAACAGCTATTTCATGTACACATTAGAGCTGTGTATCGTGGCCTTAGTGGCGAGACGATATATCCAGATACCAGTTTAATGAGGCGAGACGATATAGGTAAAATGTTCACACTCTGTGACTTATACACCAACTCCTTTGTTCATGTAACAGAGATAAACATTTGTTTTAAAACAGAAGAACAAATGCAATACTCCTTACAACTTTAAGTGACCCGTGAAGATCCGGGGTAGAAGTTCAGCAACCCATGTGCTTTTGACTATGCTTTCGTAAAGGCGACTAACGGGATCGGGTGGTCAGAAGAATTTCATTGCGCAGATCGATGCTCATGCTGTTGATCACTGGATTGTCTGGTCAGACTCGATTATTTACAGACCGCCGCCATTCCTGGGATATTGCTGGATGCGTAAAACTAAACTCACTCACTCCTCACTACAACTTTAAGTAGTATTTAAGTTGTATCGGGATATATCGTCTCTTGTGGCGATACATCGATGTATCATGGACCCTCGCGATATAAATATCCTGATATATTGCCTAAATGTGTTTTGTATCGATGCCCTCGTATCGCGTAGTTGATGATTTAAATATCGATACTATCGATGAATGGTTACACCACTAGTACACATGGGTACAGTGTGGCCTTTAAACTACAATAAATACACAAATTTCGGCTAGCTTAGCCTGCCTATTCTTTTAGCACAGGAAGCTGAACACATCAACCCCAGTTCCGCACCAAATGTCACCTACTTGAAAATATCTGTGCACACATTCAGCATAAGTCATCGTTTTAACGAAGGCAGCACTAGATCTTCAAAAATGTGGTCAGTTTTAATTACTGGATGGATGTACATTTCAAAAAACCAAATATCTTACACGCTATCATCCAATCACAGTTGTCACATGCCTCCATCAGAACTGAAGTTTATTTAGTGTAGTGGAACCTTCAACAACAGAATGATCATTTCTTACTTACGTATAAGGCTTGCAAGATTTTACAGGCGCTTCCCTGTCTATTTACGAAGTAAACGTTAGGTTTGCGCCTCCAAGGCCTGTTCATATGAGATCACCCGTGAAGATCCGGGTTAGAATTAGTCTTCAGTAACCCGTACTTGTCGTAAGAGACGACTGATGGGATCGGGTGGTCAGGCTCGCTGACTTGGTTGACACATATCGTATCCCAGTATTTACAGACGACCGCCATGTAGCTGGAATATTGTTGAGTGCGGCGTTAAACAACAAACAAACCAATCCAAATCATGAGATCGTTCGGTTTTCCTCTCACACTTACTGGAATGATGTTAAAAGCGACGTTTCTTCTGGGGGTTTATGTGTCTCCATTTATTGTATGATTACACCCCTAAATGGTCTGCCCGTCTTTGACAGCGCCAACGCCAACACCTACGCCATCAACAGCACCATCAACGGAAGCGAGTCCAGTCTTCAACTGCACTGCTAATTCGGGCATCCAGTGGGTCGATCCTGGCAAGCTGAATGTCACCTACCTGAACGAATGCCTCCTGTTGAACAAGAAGGACCTATCCTGCCATGTCCGATCCTTGACGTCCGCAGAAGACAACCGCCCTTCTGCCATTGCTCTCGGGGCTGTGTGGGCGTTCCTGCTCTTTGCTGCGATTTTCTGTATCATACTGATGGATAACGACGCTTTGTTTCAAGATCGCAAGCCGGCTCGGAGGTGTTTGGTTGAGATCCACAGAATTGTCGATTAAGGACAAAAGAATTAAAACCTGGATCTCGAAAATACGGCTGCTCCCAAGATCCTCAGGTCACACTCAAACTTCATCTACAAAATTGGGTAGGTTACGGAGGTCATGAAAGAATTATACGGAGTTTTCTTGTAGAACTAAAGAGACAACCATTTTTCATTTTACCATTGTTAAACGTTTTCGGTATTTTTCCAACACTGGATACTGTTGATTCTACCATGCCTGTGATTGATTAATTAAAGTCATTCGGAGGTATATATTCACGTTATATACCTCTGGTTTTCCAACACAGTATGTATTTTGTCAAAGTCTTAATACGTTTCAGTCACCCATCATCTCCGCTATATGTTAACGGCTTACGTGTGTGTGCGTGCGTATGTGTGTTGTGTCCGATCCCAGAGAGTCCCACAAAGTAAAGTGGCTGGATCCCATCTGATCAGATTATTCATGGAACTTTAAGATTTTGTGATTAGAAATTGAAGGAGAACTGAATTGTCATTTATTGCTTTTAAATATAACAGTAAAACTAGCTATATATACTAGCCACATAAAGAAACTGTGCATTGTCAAAATATTATCCCGGTTGATAAGTACGATAACAATGTCAAAGGTACATATAAACTTTAATGGAGGGATCATGAGACCATAACAAGTCGGGAGAATTTCAATTGAAAAGTCAATCACAACGACGCCACGAGTCCACAAGCGGGACAGGGGTCAAACGACCATGTCACAAGCTCAATAACGGGTATGTCCACCATCGGCATTGAGAACAGCAGTGCATCGACGACTCATAGAGCCTATCAAACGTGCAAGGAAGGCTTGTGGGATGTCACGCCAGATTCTCTCAAGTTCTGTTGCAAGGTCAAGGACGTTATCTGGCGGATGAGGAAGACGGCGTAGACGTCGATCCATCTCGTCCCAAAACATGCTCTATCGGGGAGAGATCCGGTGAATTTGCAGGCCAAGGCAGTAAGTCAACGTTGTGGTGTTGCAAGAAATCCATAGCAACCCTTGCCGTATGAGGGCGGGCATTGTCCTGTTGGAATGTTAACCCAGGGCCATGACGTTGAAGAAAAGGAATTGCCACAGGTCGAAGAATCTGATCCCTGTAGCCCACACCAGTTACGTTCCCCTGAACAATCACCAAAGGAGTTCTTTGGCGTGCTGTTAAATCCACCCCAAATCATCACGGAACCACCACCACCAAAGCGATTCCTCTCCAAGACACAGGCCTGTGCATAACGTTCTCCCACGCGTCTATAGGCACGTTGACATCCATCACTATGGGAAATGTTAAACCTGGACTTATCTGTAAAAACAACATTTCTCCACCAAAACAAGGGTCTGCGGACATGATTTCGGCACCACATTCGGCGAGCTTGTCGATGACGTTGTGTCAGGATAGGCCGTATGGCGGGACGTCGTGGTCTGATCCCGTGATGACGTACACGTTGTCGAACTGTGTTGGGGTGGATACGGCGAAGTCCTGGGATGGTTCGGGCAGTCATCACTGCAGTCTGAAACCTGTGGCGAAGATGGGTCACCCATATCCATATGTCCTGTCTTGGCGTTGTTACACGTGGACGTCCAGAACGTGGCCGATCGATGACGTCATATGTGTTCTGGTAGCGTCTCACCAGTGCAGAAATGGTGTTCCGTTGGCAGTGGAAATGTGCAGCCACTTGTCGTTGAGACATTCCCCCACGGACCATCCCAATGGCCTCATGACGTTGTGCAGACGTGAGCCTTGGCATACTATGCGTTTCAATAGCCGTTTAATTTTTTGAACGATCGCAAGGGCATGGGGTTTCATTTGCTCTGTTTCTCTTTCCCGGATTGCGCGTCATACCAAAAGACGTTAAAATATGGTACTTGTTGGTCCCTGCCTGGCGCTCGGCATTAATGGGTACAACAAGGACTGGTCGGCTCGGAGTCAGTATAATGTGTCTGAGTGGGGTATTCATGCTTCACTGCGGCATGGTATCTCAGTGGGCTAGCACTATAAAACCAGCTTCAGTCTGGGCTAGTACAAGCAGCCGCACATACACATACACACGCATGCACGTCGTCATATGAGCGAAATATTCTCAAGCACGACGTTAAACCCAATTTCACCTCACCTCACCTCACCTTTCCCGGATTGCACGTGCAACAACGTATTGCACGTCTCAAGGACGAACCAACTGACGTCACGTGCATGCATGTTGGATACATGTCACTAATCGCCGAGTTTAAGTCCTTGTGTCTACACAGGTTTGATAAATTTAGATGTTAAATTTTTGTATGCACAGTTTCTTTATGTGCCTAGTATAGTTCAGAATATTATCTTGAGCCTCAGTTTCTCTTGGATTGCGTTTTCTTTACCTTTACACATTTCACTTTGCTTCAGGTGTCCTCAAAAGGTGACGAAATACTTTATCTGACATAATTTGCATCTATAACTATTACGTCATATATACTTGGTAAAGAGCGTAACGCGTGACAATAGTTTCAATCTATTTGCATGTCCGTATTACGATTTTGTTTCCTTGTACAGCGAAGAATATATTTAATTCCAACTACTCTATCAAGTTGTCGTTAAGAGTCCTTGTAATTTCCTTGAAGAATCGTTTCCCAGTACACCATGCCAGTGGACGGAACCAACTGTTTGAGATCAGGGATTGTCACAACCTTGTAGCTTGTCAAAATCTTTGGAGCGTTGCACCAAGGGATGGAGCATCACACATTTTGGGAGACATTTTGTACATTTTAGTGTCATTTTGGAAACGTGCAAATGCAAGGGCCGCTTGAGGGGTTTGAGGGCTGATATAAAAGACTGCCACATCGGCATACGATAACCTGTTTTTATCGTGCAGGTGAATGCATTACATTATCACCTTGTTGGAAAACATTGCCGTTGGAAAGCAGCCTGCGCACTAAGGGACGTAACTCCAATTCCTACCATTCGGGCAAATATTACTCGCCTATTCAAATTGCACGGACAAGCAATTTTAGCTCGGCAGGGTTGGGTAATATGGGTTTCGTTATTACACCCCCCGTGATATGGCCATCTAAATGTCGGCTATATATCGCACAAGCTCATGTCTCATCCTCACAGGGACATGACAAACGTGCAAATCATCTCTTGGTTTCCAGAACACCATGTCAATTCTCTAAAGCCGTAGCACGTTGTCCACCGTCTGTCAGTCCGTTCGTCCGCTCGTGTTTTGGATTTTGTTCTCAATACTTTGTTTTCGGAAAAGAAATAAAATTTCGTTTATTATGGAATATTTCAATACCAGATAGGTTGTAAAAGATTATAGTACTTCCTGCGAAGTTGCGAAAAATATCACGTGCATGTTTCCAAAATATTAGTCTATCTCACAGACCCTGAACCACATTATTTTCCCTTAAGCCAAGCTATCTCTGCAGTGCTAAAGCCCTAAATAAAGCAAGTCTAGATTTCCTCAGGTTCTGAATCTCTGGTATCCCCACACTCCGGCACAGCGCTGACTTAACATAACATCACTGCCACAGGCTAATTTGCATATCACGTGACCGGACTTTTCTCTTGTTTGTAATCAAACGCGCATATTCAAAATAAGAAGAGACTGGACTCACGAAAGCATTTCGGCGCTCACTTAATAATGTTGTACATTGTTACATATATATTCGTCCACAACTGCGACAGTAAGGTCTATGACTGTACATATTTAGATATCAAACTGGCTGCATCGTTTGCTCTCCATCAGCTTCGATGACAGCACGTGAAGCCGTACAACCGATGTCAACAAACGATCGCTACGCAAATCGAAATAGTGTTACATGTTTTTGGATATTTTCTCAGTGAATCTAAACCATTCTATTAAAGATGTTTAGTTAGATGTGTAGACTTGTCAAAAATAAAACAGTTAAAGAAATCTGTACATTATATTGAATGGACATTGCAAGATGTGACGAATCGTCACATTTTTCTGGCCTGTGGCAGAGATACTAGGCTGGCTTGGCGCATGGAACTCTGGGTAGGAGAGTGTGGTATCCCTGGGGCTCCTTTTCAATTTAAATGAGCTTGTTTGTTACTATCAAAATTATATATATTTAGAGATTAAGCGTTAGTCTACCAAAATATCAGTAACACTGGAATGGGTGTTAGCAAAATACTTTTTTTTCTATAAAGAATATTGCATTGAGACTGCAGTCAACACCGCACTTCGTAGCTTGACTAGATATAGTATTCATCTCTGTAAGATGCACCTCATTTGGTACGTGGTGAACCACAATGCCTTGGCGATATTCCTCTATAGTATACTCCTCACAAAAACTTAAGCAACAAGTATTTTCAGTGTAACATCTTTATCAATCTCGATAACGATTTTTGCCGACATGTTACTGAAAGGTAAATATTCAAAGAATACATATTAACCTTAAGTGCCAGTCAAACTGTTTTATCTCATGACATTGACATCACCACCCGAACACAACCACCCTCAGGAACAACATGCAAAATGTGAGGCATGACTGTGCTCCACTCTTCACAAATGCACTCTGATCGGTGTAAACCTACCTGTAATCATTCCTTTGCCACAACAAGCGGGTCCTAACTTCATTTTTATGGATGATAATGTCCGAGAAGGAGTTGTTTACGATGTTGTTTAGATCAACATCACACATATGGACTGGCCTGCAAGGTCACGTGATCTTAATCCCATTAAACATGCTTGGGGCATTATTGGAAGTCGTGTTTACGGTCTCCATGTTCACCCCCAGACTCTGGGTGACCTTGAGCAGGCGTTACAAAGAGAATGGCAGAACATTCCACAACAGCAACTTTAAAGGCTCATTTGGTCAATGCAAAGACGTGTAGAAGCTTGCATTTGTGCTCATGGTGGTCATACGTATTACTGAACACTGCTTCACTGTCCAAAACTGACTTGAACCTTAATGTTAACACTTTGCTACATCAATCCAGCACATTTTGCACGATTGTTTTGCAGGTACATGCTTTCGATGATTTGTAAGTCTATTATTGCTCAATACCATTTCATTTCATTTTGTGAATAGTGTGTACGTTTCACCTTTCTATTGCATCATTCAGTGATTTGCAATTTCAATAAATGAAAATGTAATGAACCTACAAATATGTGTTGCTTAACTTTTTGTGAGGAGTATATATTAAAAGTACACTTGCAAGTTTTGAGCTGGCTACTGTTTCTATATAATAGATGGCGCCACTCTTAACTGCGGAATGTTTTTGTGACAAGCCCGAATCACGTACCATACTGTTCAAATATGACAGGGCTTAACAACACTATAAAGCATTACAACTTGCAGGAGGACAACTATCATTTATGTATGTGGCATATTCAGTTTTGATTGTGTAACAACACCCCAGCAATATTCCAGTGATCAACATCATGACCATCGATCTAGGTTACTGGGATACGAATGTACACCACCATCACCTAACTATTTCTTGTTGTTATAATCTGGTTCAGAACATTAAGCTTTCACCTTCAATTTTACTGTGATACTGTAGGGACAAAAACAAATGGTCATTATCTTTCATCATTTTATTTCTTTGATCCACAGCCAAGTCAATAATAAAGTTAAGTGTACATTACTTACAACACTGTTTCATTGTTTGGCCACATTAACTACTTGGTAGTGTATGTAGTCAGCCAGACTGGGCAACACAACAGGGTAACAAACATGGCAGCTTGGCTGCTGTCGGAGATTATCACATACATAAATAGGACTAAGAAAATACCATCAACAATAACTTCACCCCTTTAGTCTTTGTAAAACTTCAAACACAAAGCTTCACATCAATATATCAATTCACTAATGTTATAAAATCAAGACATTAACAGAGCAATATAATGTTTTTAGACTGAATGAGTTACGGCTTGTAAGCAAGTGAATATAATAGTATTCAGGCATTCCTTAACAGTGCTTTCCTCAATCAAAATGAACAATTATATCTAAACATAGAATGTCCTTTATGGAAATTAAATTTAACGTTAATTGTGGCACTACAGAATCTCACTTCTTGCAAATACTGACAGTTAACTAAAGTTTGAGTATACTGATGGTGATATTTTCTTGAGACCATAGCACTCATATCACACGAGACTTTATGCAGTGTACTTTGAAATCATGCTTAACTCTTCAGAGAAATGACTCACATTCTTATTTCTTCAGATGCAAATCAAACTAGATAAGCACAGCTATTCTCAAAATATACACAAAAGAAAAGATTCTTTTGCAAAAATAATATCCCAAGAAGACTTCATCAAGTCAGATCTATTCTTTGAGTCAGTGATGCAATTTGCACATGATAAAACACTTCGTTGAAGCCCAGCATCGAAGCATAAGACCAATCACTCCCTTTTCAATGGGAATTGTTGATACTGGCTTAAGTTCCTTTCAGGGAAGGTGTTATATCGTGTAGAATGCCAAATGTATGGCAGCAAACCATCATTTGTCCATGGAAGGCAATACCCTGCCTTAATGCCATTACAGTTATCACAGTTCAAATAATCCGTCCAAGAAAGATAGCATCATCGGACATACAGTCTGGTCCTGTTATTGGTACGAAACCCAGTTTTGCGTAGCAGTCCATCATGTATTTATCTCCTACTGTTAGTTCACAGTGCACACCAATGGAACCACTGGTTTTTACAGCACAAAGGGCACAGGCAAGAAGTCTTTTAGGAACTGCAGGGTCCTCGATTCGGTTTGGCAGGACATCAACACGCAGTAATGATGGATACCGTTTGTAAAGAACCTCTGGGATCATCTGCTGCTCATTGTGAAAACTTAGGATCAGCTCCTACAAAAGAGAAAAATAGATATGTTTGGATTCATAAATGGTACAGATCCAGATTTCAGCCAACTTCAAATTGAGACAAACAGACAAAGCAGCCCTGGTAAAAGATGGTTAAACTACAAGATCATGACATGACAATTCATACATCTGTCATTTCAGTCAGCTAACCACAAGTATGGAGGTACTAAAGTACTGTCGGAAATAGAAAAAACTTTTTCTCACTGATATCTACAATTTATGTAGTTAATATGTGAAAGTGAGAAATATCTGTTAAAGTTCGGCCTAACTACAGTCTCAGTGGTAGGGAGATAGGGAGATAGGAAACGTGGAAAAAGGACTTTATTACATATATTACAAAGGACAATCTTTAAATGTCAATTTCGAAATTAAACTTAGCTTCATTATAAACAATAGCCGTCGTAAACAATAATAACTTTAATACTGAAACTATGAAGGATGAATTTACTACGGAGTCTCACTATCACTATAAAAAGAAACAGGTAGGAGGGGTCATCTCAAAAGCAAATCCAGGACAGGTGTCGCAGATGGTGGTTGGGGTCAGGCTGGTGGATAGAGATATAAGCCGAGATAAGTTAACCCTTTAGGGGAATTAAACTGGGAAGCAAACGGCATGTCATAACAATTTACAAATAATATCCAGCTCTAATAATAATTATAATAATTGGCTTGTATAGCGCCTAGTTTCCATCATAGATGCTCAACGGCGCTGCATACATCGTTAAAAACACAATAAGTGTGAAAAGAGTTCTATTCAGAAGCCATCTTGAAGAAGTAGGTTTTGAGCATTGTTCCACAGAGCTGGTGCTGCTACAGAAAAGGCTCTATCACCAATTGATGTTTTAGTGCTTGGCTGTGTTAGTCTTAACGTATCTTTTGATCTAAGCTCTGTCGATCTTCTGGTGGTCATGCCACCTATATATTTTGAGACATTTAATACGATGGCTGATTTAAGCTATTCCATGGGTACCCTTTTACACATCTCAACATGAACGTTATGAAAGAAAGACACAATGGATATTAATCAACAGATTAGACATATTCAACACACATGAATAAGCATAAAATATCTTTGAGATGACCCCTTGTGCCTGTGGGCAGCACGTGCATTTCATGTCAGATGAGTCGACAGTCCATCATCATACCTGGCTGAGCGTCCTAATTGTCATCTATAGTCTGATCTATTTTGCTCAATTTTACGAGTAAACATGCTTTTCTGGATATCCTGTTACGCATCCCACTGAATGCCAAGTTAGGCCATTGTGGGTTATTTCAATATATGCTTTTTGTAAATTTTAGGAATACAGAGTAACAGCCTAAAAACAGGTTTTTTTTCTATTTCCGACAGTACTTTAGTTACCAAATCAACAGTATTCATTCAATGTTCAGGGGAAAGCATCAAATATTCAGTGCGAGAGATCAACTACAGTACTGCATTGTATACATACATCTGCTGGTGAAAGATCATCTTTGTCAGGTTTGGGGTATTTCTGGCACATGGAGGGAATCCAAGCAATCTTGGTCTTTTGGTGTAGCTGCTTGCTGTCTAGAGCACAAAGGGCATAGCCACAGATTCCTTCTTCATCCTCGACGACAAAGCAGTATTCATGGCTGTTCGTGACCAGGCCTCCCAGCAACCTGGAATTAACACGTCCTCATTACCATCACAAGAACTAAAATTTTGGTAAGGAATCTAACCTCACACTCTTTCCCATATTTGAAACAGATTTAATGTATTTTTAGGAAATGCAAGAAATATGTTAAATGTAAACTTTCCATTTCACATTTTCGACAAGTTGGGGTTTCAGTAAAAAAAATATTTTACCCCGTTAGCTAAATCTTTAGGAAAATTACACTCGAAAGCCTTGTAGTACAGGATATAGGTTATTCAAGAACCTTTCAGACCATTAGTGATTGAATGACAGAAGGCTCATATTTAGGAAGGCAAAATGAATACTTTGAAGGCACAATTACTACATCACAATACCATAAATCAAAAAAACATTTCTAACATGAAGTTTAGTTTGCTCATGGATTTTCATACCTGTCTCCCATGAGTTGTGGATTATCTGGAAAGACATCTGTGCCATCCATGCCATCATCACAAGTCTTCAGACACACTTTGTACACTTGATCCTGAAGAGTTATTTTCTTCATTAAGACATACTCACAATGTACTCCCAAGATATATTATGAACAGTCATCTGACCCTAGAAGCCAACAGCATTTATTAACTTTGTCCAAATAACTTTTGCAATGAAGTGATTTAGGTTCTTTCAGGAAAGAAATCTTGTGCAAAAAGAATAAACGTGAGAAAAAATTTACATCATAGAAACGCTTGCAAGAATCCAATGCCATCTGAAAATTATATATTCAGAGTGTGAATATCTTCTATTTGGGTAGAAAAATCTCAGTATATATTGGTTTTTCGACATGAACTCACCTTATCATTAGGATGGTAAGGTCTATAGACATATTGTTTCTTGACAAAAGTGTCAGGGGCAGTCATGAAGAATAGATCATGAGCAGTGTCAATCGGCAACATTCGCTGTGAACAGATCAGAAGGGTGTTATGTAAGGATCAAGCCATGAACAGACTGATCCAAATTCAAATCACATGTTTCGCAAGCGCAAGATATTCCTGAATCCAGATGCTTAACTTGAAAAACAGCATAAAAGTTGCTGCAGTTTTTTGTACATTCATTTACTCACATGTCAAAATGTGTGACACATGAACCTTGTGCCATAAGTTTTCAATGTTTCACAAAGCTTCACATTAATATTCAACTGGGTTCAGGAAACAAATTGAAAAATTACATTTACCATATAATATTACTTCTTATTAAAACAAGCAAACTACTTATCACTTACTTGTTGGCTGAGAGCCTAAAACATTCAAATTATATTAGCATTTCTTCCTTCTTTCAGGCTGATTCACTGTTGCTTTTGCACTTTATCTCAAGTTTTTGCTATCTTGCTAAATGTTAACCACTGTGAAAGTTGGACAGTTTCAAAATTACAGGAGAAAATTCTTTTTCAAAGCATTCTTGATGGTCATAAATATGAAATTTAGGTGTCAGGAAAGACAAATAAGTAACTTTTCTGTCTTTTGAAATATATTCCAAGAGGGGCTGGGAAAGCTTGCAAGCATACAAAATATGCAATAACAAAAATGTACAAAATGTACAAGCTATATTTTTAACAACTTAAATAATCTGTGTTGACCAAGAATCAAGTCAATAAGCATTATGCTCTACCTTAAGTTGGTCAACAACATGATATTTATAAGGTCAAATCAGTTAACTTTGCAGTTGTGAAGGTTGACTAAAATCATTCAACTTTCTGAATTAGTCAGTGTCTACTCCGGGGATTTTGTGTGCGACATTAACATTAAACAAATGAAATTGGGAACAAGCCATTAACTGCAATGTCTTCTTTACAACACACTGCAGTGGGCAAAATGATATCAAAATATATTCCAAAGACAATATAAGTGAATATGTTCAGATTGTCCAACTTTCACGGATTATGAAAGAAACAAAGCATTATCGCAGCGCACTTTCTGTAATGAAAGATATCTATTAGCACATGGTAAAAACACCACTGGAAACCGTTTACTTGAAGAAATTAATGTTCAGAAAATTTTCCCATTTTTCCGCTCACTAAGATTTATCAACCTCTGTATGGAGATAGAAACATTTGATGGTGTGTAACAGTGTTTGAAATTACTTTCATTAAGTTGGTTTTTTTGCAGAATCATGCACACTGGCATAACAAGTTCTAAAAACAGTCACTAAATTGACCACATTATCCTTTGACAAAGATTCAAACACTGTTCTTATTAAGACTCCTCAATCATCAACTGTCAAATGACAAGTGGAAGCGTCAATAAAAGTTTCTATCACATAATAAAGAGGTTCTCTCAATGCTGAAAGTGTTTACATGTAAAGAGCTTCTGTCAAACTGTTTTTTAAAAGCCAAATCGCCCATGCAACAGGGAAAACAATCCTTTAAATGGATAGGATTTTGCACTAACAAATAACATTAAGAAAAAATTCTGAACCTTTCACTGTACACAATGGTACAAACTTCAGATTACAAATATTTTCTCTGAACATAATTCAAGTTGATTCTTGATTTGCAGAATATTTCGAACATGAATTAAGAATGATCCAACTGCCATGGAAATTTCACAAGCATTTTCTGAAACATTTGCCTGAACTGTGCAAAAACTAAATATTCTGCAACACTGACAAGAAACAAATTGAATTTTAAGAAAAGCTTTAAATTTGGCATGTGAAAGCCATCAGAGCTGAAACGCATGCTCATAGCGCGAGCAGCAGCGTAACCTGTGAAGGAAGCAAGAATTAAACTTGAGATAAAAGTGCAACAACCGCAGAGATCAGCTGAAATTGGAGAGAAGATATTAGTTGGGACTTGGAATGGGGGAAACCACCATGATGATGATTGTTGTGCATCCAGCGCATGTGGCAACAAGCTCCCTGGATATACATACTTGGAACTCTGCCTGCAGACCGCCTCGAAAGACCCAGGGTTCTTGGTCTCCGCTAACGAATGCCTCCTTATAGCCTTTTGTAAGCCCTATTATTGTTAAAAAAAAGAAATAGGTAGAACTCATTAGTGACCTGACAAAACCAATTCAGGTTGGTTGACGGTTGAAATGGTTTACTTAATTTTACAGTTACACATCTTACCTTACAAGTTCAATAGTTACCTCGACGATACAATTCATCGATGTTGCTACTTGAACAAGACGTACTTGCATGCTAGTTCACCTCCAGGGGGTATGATAATGTCAAAGAACTTTGTACAGCTTTCGTCGCGATATAGGTTTGCAAATACCAATTCAAAATGTACTAAACTAAAATTGAAATGTTGATGAAACATGACGTTCCATTTGAATGACTTGAAATAATTTCAGACAAAAATAACCCAGCCAAAAGAAATCTGAAAGCCTTACCAACCTCTATCTTTTTGTACCATGTTTGCAAACCTCTGACTAGGCAAGATGAGAAGGCACAGGAATCCAAATTCAATTACATCTGTATGAGAATATATAGCTCAAAGATCTTAAACAGTTTCATTAGAATTAATGAGGTGATGGACAGATCTAAATTTTGGCACACTCAATTTTCTGATTAAAATCAAGACAATTGAGGGCATAGATGCGAACTGAAAATATTCATCATACATATGAAATTTAAGTTGGATTCAAAACTCTCCAATCCGAGAGCAAATATCTGCATCTGAAACCATCATCTCCATTTCAGCAAGGCCCTAGCTTCCAGGAGTTTCATAACAGAATATTCCTCAATTACAAAAAGGTAAGATACACAAAAAATCATTGATTTACAACACTTGCATTTTCTCTTTTCTGTTCAGTAAGATTATGAAAATATATCATTATGAATCATATCTTCTTAAACCCACACTGAAACACCTGGAAGTTCATGAACGTTTTGGTGAAATGGAGATGCTATGTCCATGTGTAAAGAAAATCAAGTCATGCAGAACCTGTGTAAATGAACAATGATTAGTGAGCCTGGGAAAGCTGTACAAAGCGCTAACTGCGGTAGAAGAGTGTTGGCCCAAACCCAAACACATAGAATGCGTACATGTTAGAGATCCTTGCAAGTGACACACAGCCATGTATGGAACTCGACCACCTCCTGAAAGAACACAAGCAAACAGAACATTAGTATGTGCCTATCACTGGTCATCCGCACTGAAAGTAAGGACTAAATGCCAGTCTATATAATAGACTCCCTTACTCACCAACAGATTTATTTGATCAATTAGGAGACAATTTAGTCCTTAAAAAGATTAAATTTATTTGTCCTACAAGGCATTATCTTCAAACCCACTGTTCAGTTAAGCATTCTTTAAGACTTCATCTTACACTATGGAAAGGTTTGACATTTCTCACAAAACAAGAGCTTCACAAGACACAAAAAGCGCAGATATGTATTACTAGAAAGACTATAAAAAACTGAAATAAACAGGGAAAAAGATAATGCCTGAAAATGTTCTAGCCATGTCCACAACACTGAAGATGTCAACATTATTTAAGGAATTACACCTTAAAAATGGCTGTGACTTAGTTAACTGTCGCAGCATTCAAGAGCCACAATATTATCATGCTTATAAAGAGCCAAGCTGTACAAGACGTATTTCTTAGCACCAAATCGTTTAACATTATCTTAACAAGCACATCAAAACAGTGACTAAGATAAATGGTTTCAGTATATTTTCATGAATTTAACTTTAAAATCTAATCTCATGTTACCAAACTTGATAAAAAACGCAATACAAATCTGTCCATGTCCTGCAAAATGAACAATCTGAAACCATATTTAATTTTGTGTACTATTAATCTTACCAGAAAAATACATGAAAACTAACTACAAGATGGCGTTGTAAACGGACATCAAAACAACCCACATAATTTTATCAATAATACTGAGGCTCAAGAACAGGACAAGATTACAATGCTGTCAGCCAAAGGGACACATGCATAGAAATGTTGCGTTTTCATAAAAATTGACAATTACCCATCCACTTGACATAAGCACAGCATGTTTGTAGTACTCCTCGAAGATCCCACAGATATGGGAAGATGTCAGACAAAAGAGACCTGTTGGGCATGGCCACAAGGCGATCATACAACTCCAACACAGCTCCAACACTATCCTCAAACCTCTTAGCAACTTCAAACCAGTGTGTCACCTGAAATAAAAGCAAATTAGTGAATACTGCAGGAACTTGTCCAAGATCATCTGTACTGTCATCCGAAGAACCTTTGCAATGCTTCAAACTCTGAGTGTGATAAGTTTTACGTCACTTTCAGCAATATTCCAGCAACATCACAGCAGTGACACAAGAAATGGGCTTCACACATTGTACCCATGTTGGGAATCAAACCCGGCTCTTCCGTATGATGAGGGAACGCTTTAACCACAAGGCTACTCCACCGCCACTTCAAACTGAAGAAATCTATGATAAATGGTGACGAACTGACCATAAGCTATACGCAATGTGTTTGATCTGACACTTCATTACAGTTGAGCAACATTCTGTGTTTTAACTGTTGACTCAAAAACTTAAGTTTGTTTGAAAAGAAAAATGAACATGCCACTGAATTGCAATATATAGACATGTCTACTCAACATGCTCAACAAAAACAAAATCTCATAGCACAATAATTTTTCCTTTACCTGATCTTTGATTTTCTTTGCACCATTTGCACTTGAGATTACATGAGCATTTGCCCTAAGCCAGTACAGATCCTGCATCATTTCACAACCCCTGGACCCGTATTCAAAAGGTGTGTAGAACAAGTCCACAAGCAATGAAATGTTCTCATGGGTAAGATTACCACTTGATGTAAATTCAACTCCATTAGATGTTTCCACAACCTCTTCACAATTTGTAATGTCTGTACTGTTTCTTTCTCCTGTCTTTTCCAAAGCAGTCACTTCTATCTGCATCAGAGATTCTGACGATTCGTTTTTGGGAATACTATGGACATTTGAAGGTATTGCACTAACCCCTGTTGGAACACAATCCATGGGTTCAAGTTCTGAATTGTCAGCCACAAATTCTGTATCAGATATGGGCACCTCAACAAGACTGTTCACAGGATTCATTGAAGGCTGCATGTAAGATACATTGTCCACTTCAGCCATGTTGGAATCCATGGAATTTAATGGAGGGATTGGTAATGAAACATTTTTGTCTTCAGATTCAAATGTTGTTGTTGTTGGTGTTAATGCTGTACATGTGCTGACCACAACATTGGACATGGGCATCATAGGTGGGGAGGGGCGCTTAGGAGGGAGGCGTCTTGCAGAGAACTCCACCAACCACTCGCTAACAGCTATCTTCAGTGCCTGCCTGGGCTGGTAGCGAGTGTCAAACCTTGTTGGAATGTCCTCATCTGAACTGAAATCACTTTCTGTCTCCAGCTTTATGTCAGACGCCACAGGACTTAATCTGTCACCTGAAATGCAAATTATAAAAATGCAAATTTACATTAAAGTATTTGGCATCTATAGGATCATGATGTGTACTCTTCCACAAGCAAATTGCATGTTTATCCAGTCAAAAAAATCAGATGGTGCAATACCAGTCTCTAATATTCTCTTCCAAAAAATATCCTGAAAATGTACCTCTAAACAACTTCAACTCAAGGTTTCTTTACCTGATATGATATCTTTTTTCACTCCGTCCACGTTGGACTTGCACCACTGTGCCAATGTGTGACACGCTATGAAATTAGCTTCAAATTCAGTGTTTGGATTTGTCATCACACCCCTCAGGTATGGAATGATTTCAGGCGACCGTCCATCATATGGCCCAAGGAATATCCTTCTTGGATCATAATCATTGGCATGAATATTGTCCCATATCACAGGTGGGCGCTTCAACACAGAAGCAACTTCTTCCAATGACTGAATACTGAGTTTCTTGCTGATCACTTTAGGTCCTGAAAATTAAATAAATGACACCTTAGAATAGCCAAACCCAACTGAAAAGTACTGGGAAAATAATACTCTTTGAGATATCCCTGGGATGTCAGATGCTAAGTTAGGTCACATTCTAACAAGATCATAATTCAGCTTCTATGACTAGCACGGACAGAAATATCACTATACCAATCCTGTTTCACCAACTTCAAAACGGTATAAAGACAGGTCTGTTTCCATCTTATCAGTATTTGGGCAAACTGACTTTCACCATTAAATTTTCACCCTTGACAGATCCATTCCAGCAGGCCATGCAAGTAAGGTAAACACCATGGCATATTGGACTTTCACGGGTAATATGTTAACACCTTGAGCATGTACAAGTGCAGCATTATATTCAAAACATACCTGTCCACATGACATTGATCCCAGGCAGCAGTTTGCTACCTATAGTTGTTAGGTAGTCTGAGTTTAACACATTTGGTATTGCTCTGGAAGCACAATATTCTGAAACAAACATTCATGCAAGATTAATGTAATATGTTAAATAAGACCCTGAATAGTCAAACAATGCTTATTCTGTGGTGTTCCAACAATGTTCATGAACTCATTACAAACAATCAGAAGACAAAGTGGAGCAAGGAAAAACATTCCAGCAAATGAATTTTTTCTTCTATATATGCGAGTTCATTCTCACTGAATTAATTATAGTTTCAACTCAATTACATTGTAATTACAGTTAAGTTTATTTGTTCTTTTCCATTTATTCCGACATTCACATCTAGATGACTCTGCATTTAATAGCTTGATAGATATTGTCATGCTTGGCAAATTATATCCTTTCCAATTTAAAATTAAGAACAGTTTCCTGCTGTGTTGATTCAAAGGATCACAAATGTTTAAATTGTATCTATTCCAAGTTGAGGCTAGTAACAATTCAGTTTAAGGTGCTCACCTGTAGGACAGAATAAAAACTTTGGTTGGCCCAAATGCTCATATACTTCATTTGTAACCGAAGCTTGAGCAAAGGCTGATGACGGGAACACACTTCGATCTGCTTCACTTATTTCAGGATCAATGTCATCAAATAAGATGGCAAATGCTTTACAACCGAATGTTGAAACCTGAAACATATTGAACCAAATATATAAATCTTTCAATTATTTATAAAGTTCATCAAGGATGAGCATTTTAAAACCATATTGAACACTTAAATCTTATATTGTCAGCAATAAGTCTACAGAGTTCTTGAAATAATTTGTTTCAGACAAGCTAAGCTGTTCCAATGAAATACTGTTTTATTTGACAATCATATATATATATATATATAAATTCAAGCACATTTATGGATCACAAGAATCACTTCAGATGGATATTCTGAAAGATTACATTCACCAACATCGCTTGTATGCATAAATGAACACTATACTGTTACCTGTTCCAGTTTCCTTTTAAGGCATGTAATATCTTTTGTGCTGGAGAATGTGATGTCTAGACCAGGTGAGATGGCATAGACAAAATTCACATTGTTCTGATGTGCAGCTTCAACCAGATTTGTAAGATGATCTGCAAGGAAATTGCACTAAATGATCCATCCTTCATACTACAAATAGTAACACAAAGACAAACAATAATGACTTATGTTTTTTCTTGTTTTAATAGGAAGTCAAATCTGAGTTGGTAATGTGTATGAAGCATTAATTGATAAGTGTCAAGCATCAAAACACCTGTATGTATCAGTCTTAAGATGTTAACCTTCATGATTGTCTCAGGATTGGGAACATTGCTAATTACAGCTGTAATAAAATTATTGTGAAGTGTTGGTTGACAGTTGAGTCTTAAAATCTAGAATAGTTTCTTTCAAGTTACTTCAGTTAGCAGTAATGAACGATTACACAAAACTTCCCCTTTGTCAAGTCCAGCATTTCCAGACTTTTGAGTACAATTGTAACTTACCAGCTTCTTCAACAGAATACAGTTCTCTCCAGAAAGCCCTATGTTTACAGTCATCTTTGGGGGCATACATGTATGTGTTCAACCCCATTTTGTTCATCCTGAAAAAATGAAACATTACGAAATTTCAACCGTTGTCTGATTCTATGCTGCTGTATATATACACATCAATGTGAACACTTTTAGCTAATTTAATAAAGCACACACAAAAACTTACTCTCGTCAACTCTGCTCACTGCATACTATTGTTATGCATGTGTGTATGAAACTTTTCATTTGAAACATTAGATATTAACTTGATCTACTCATACACCTGCCTTAAACCTATAATGCATCAGATTATTACAAACATTACTTGGCGTTAGTGTTCATGCTTTGTTCACAATTCAATTAAACATAGTTTTCTATATTTTATATTCTTACCATGCAAAAAAGCAGCTTTCTTTGATCTGTGCTCCATGGTTTACCATAGAACCCTGTAAACAAATATTGCTAGAATGAGTACAAGGTTATAAATAACAAGGACCCTGAACACTAAGAAGCTATTCTTATCAGTTCAGAATAATCCAAGACACAATGTATAAACATAAAAGTATAAACCATTACACAAAACAGCACTTATGGTAGCATACCCAAGTTGTGAAAGCATGTTTTCTAACAGCCAATATGACTGATAACTATTATTAATGTGTGTCATTGTTGTCGACAACCTAACAGCAAACTCTTTAAGCTTAACACTGGGTTCATTATAGGTACTGTAGGTACAGTATTCAGTGTCTCATCATGAAGAGTGCCAGTCTCAGGATGGCAAGAAAGAGAAAGTGCGTTCACTAGAAACGTAAAGACTTCTGCCCATATCACCCACCTTAATCCCGAAACCCAACCCTAACGATTTAATGTCTGTGTGCACTATGCCATTTTAAAACTTATTCTATTAGGGCTTCTGGTCAAATCATAACCTGAATATACCAATCTTTTTCCTCATTAAAATTTACAGGACATGGGCAGAAGTCTTACCGAAGGAATTACCTAACAAATCATTCAATTCATCCATGACTTGTACTATTAGTTAGGTGAATTCTGTTGACTAATTCTGAGTTGTGTGTGGATGCAAAAAATATCAGCAATGCCGTCTGAGCTGTTCAGAAAAGGGATTCAAAAGGAAATGCCATTTTCAAAAAAATTCTTTTGAGCTGCAGAAATCGTTACTAATGTGACTATAACATAGGTGTGCGGGATTTTTATTGTTATTTGACGTAAGGTTCTTGTAATCGTTTCAAAATAAACGTACAAAAGACAAGATTAAAAAACCAGCTACACCAATCCGCCAAAACAGTTCTCTACGATCGTGTGAACTCCGATTGAGGTATTACCAATTCTAGGTTTATCTCTGGGAGTCTGTTTATCCCAGTGACCTATTTGCCAGTGCAATAAGCCAATCATGGCCGCAATACGAAAGAAAAATGGAGGTTCTCCGACGTTCCATTAACAGGATAATGAATTATATGAAAGGGGTTTAAGGGTCTGCCACTATTTACACGTCTTTACGGTAGGATGGTGGTTGATTTAGTACATATTTTAGTGAAAGCGAAACAATAGTCAATTTTGAGAAAATATCAACTTGATACAATCTGTCTTGTAATTCAAGTCAGCAGGCGCAAGACGCCATTTTGTTTTCACCGTCGGAATGCGACAAGTGCCCCGGATGAAAATAGAATTAGGTTTTCCTAAACACAAAATGATTGTATCTTTCCTTATGACGTTTCGTACGTATCTATACTTCGCAGTTTTTCATATTTCAGAATATTTTCACCAAATGAAAGGTTTTGATGACAGGAAACAATCTGTTTCTACAGGATCCAAGGTCGAATATTTCCCTCACCCTCAACAACACCGGACACGAATGTGCCGTCTTCCGCGCTGTTATCGTCAACTTCTTTCCCCGTCATTCTGGATCGTAGTTGGCGCTGAAATCCACCCTTTTGACATCTGCTCGCTATGGACCCAATTTTTGAGCTCCCTTTAACCATCAGCATGCACACTTTCTGTCCCTTCTTCTCGTGAAATAATTATTCTTCTGCTGACTTGTGGGTAATATGTACTTTCGGATGATACAAAGACGTTCATTGGCTACACGAATTATACTCAACCAATGAAATCCAGTCTGACATAGCGTTAAGTGACTGCTAATGCACCATGGGTAAAAAAAAGTGGCCAGAACCGGTTTGCACTGCCATTAACATGTTTCATGACAGCCCAGAAAGTCACAATGAGATACACATAAACATTGCCTGACAGCCGTGTCACCATCAGATATACACCAAATGCAAGCAACGATAGAAAACATATTTTGAAAAGGAGCAATAAAACAATAACCTGTACATTAAAATTACACTGTTCACTCCAAAATCATTTATCATACATAGCTTATATACATACACACCAGCGGTAATATATACCAAAAATTAAAAATATGTATTCAGATCGAGATCTACTTAAATATATGAAGCGAAAACTGCAGAAAACCAAGTATTATCGAAGAAGACTTTTGTAGATTTTGTTTTGTAAACATAAACAGAAATGACGTCACATAATATAGATACAGATCTATATATACATTCTTATTAAGCAGATATATGTAAACATTTGCATCCAAATACATGTCTCAGTTCCGATGATTGAAATAGACCTAGTTGTTTGAGTAGGGTTACAATTAGACTAACATCTAGTCTCTGAAAGTTTTTAAATTAAAATACAATACAATTAAAAGGAGCCCGATCAGCCCAGAGACTTTCTGTCATTTTCAGAAACTGGTAATCTAGACTTGCCATACATTCTAGACTTGCATGGGCTGCATTGGGTATATTTGTTTACAAGGACTTGGCTGACTTGGTTACAACATTCGAGGCCCTATTACATCTTTCAAGAATATAAATGGTAGACGTTTTATGGATTTGAGGCATCGGCTTGTTCAGCGACTACAATTATATGTAATATGGACTTGTATCATTATGTTCGGAGGTATAGTCTTGTGAAATGGTATATATACTGAGGGGAAACTAATAAGGGAACACCACTTCATGGCAGTGTTCCTTTACTTATTTTCAGATTTCCTCCCACAGCGCTATTCAAAGCTGGTGATGAAAACTGGAAAATATTAAATCTGAACATGTTACGAAGCCATTAATGATGAAATGGGCACAAGTGGGTTTTTTCTTCTTCTCTAGTTTGTACTTTGTTGCTGTTGCTTTTGTTTTGTTTTAAAAGAAAACATCAGACAAATGTTTTATGTCAGACAAATGAACTGTCTTCTTTGAGAGGCATTTGACAAGTTGGGGCGTATGTTGTTAAAACCGTCGTATAGGTTTAAGGGCAGAACAGACGTACAATATCGAACAAACTCTATGGATAACAACTTCTTATATTTCGTGAGTGCGTTTACTTCTTGACAACGGTACGCGAATCTGTATGGAAACGCCGCACTCACGAAATAAAATAAGTTGTTATTCATCTAGTTTGTCCAAAACTCAACTGTCGCGCTTGTCAGCGCCTGTCTTACAATAACACCATTCCGATGTATTATCAGTATTAGCTTTACTATTTGACAGCCTAAGCTAATTACGTTTAATTGCGCTTAAACAGAACACGAGACACATTCGTTCGTGTAATTACAAAATGTACAAATGCTCCCGATATTGGCTTAGCGTTGATGTTGTGTTACCAGCTGTAATTAGCATAACGATCGGCTCTGTCTGTGGAAACATCGTATTGTTCACAGCTGGAGTAGTCTCGGTGGTATGTTAGCGGGACAAAAGGCACATCGCGCGACAGTGACCGCTGTAATTATAGACACACGGAAGTGGATTATAATTTATATATGGCCGGTAAAACAGCACACACACAAGAGTCAAAGATTGTTTGGATATCAGCTTCTTTATTTGTTAGACAGAAATCTTTAACTCATGTTAATCACTTCTAATTGCCCCTAGAAGAACTCCAGACAAACATGAAACTACTTACTTCACCCCGCTTGTCTGGTCCAGACTCGATTATATAGAGACCGTCGCCATATATAGCTGGAATACTGCTGAATGCGGCATAAAACTAAACTCACTTACTTCACTCCGCTTGTCTGGTCCAGACTCGATTATATAGAGACCGTCGCCATATAGCTGGAATATTGCTGAATGCGGCATAAAACTAAACTCACTTACTTCACTCCGCTTGTCTGGTCCAGACTCGATTATATAGAGACCGTCGCCATATAGCTGGAATAATGCTGAATGTGGCATAAAACTAAACTCACTTACTTCACTCCGCTTGTCTGGTCCAGACTCGATTTTATAGAGACCATCGCCATATATAGCTGGAATATTGCTGAATGCGGCGTAAAACTGAACTCACTCACTTCACTCCGCTTGTCACTGCGTACTGACAAATTCCGATTCCTCTACAGTTTTCGAGGATTCATGTGCATGTCTCTTGTTGTGAGATACTCTTTGAGTATCGCCTATTATACCAGTTCCAAATACATAACAGTGGAATTACCATTTGGTTTGTTCCTTTCTATCTAAAGGAACCATTATGTGTGCATCAACTGCCCTTCCAGATGAACACGATCATGTCTTTAGGGTGTGAGGTTTTGAAAATAAAGAAATTGTAAAATCATATCACTAAACAATGCCTGAACCTAGACTATCGCTTAGTCTCTGAATATAGATACTTGTGAAACAAACAACTCCTTTCAAATTGAAAAGGAGCCCCAATATGGACATTCAGGACCTGAGGAAATCTAGACTTGCTTCATTTATGGCTTTAGCATTACAGAAAGGTCAAGGGAGATGCCCGTTAAGGTCTGGCTTAGAATTGGTCTTCAGTAACCCATGCTTGTCGTAAGAGGCGACTAACGGGATCGGGTGGTCAGGCTCGCTGGCTCGGTTGACACATGTCATCGGTTCCCAATTGCGCAGATAGATGATCATGCTGTTGTTCACTGGATTGTCTGGTCCAGACTCGATCAGTTACAGACCGACGCCATATAGCTGGAATATTGCTGAGTGCGGCGTACTCACTCACTCACAAGGCAGAAGGAAAAATAAAAAAATCCGGTTCAGGGACTATGCAACAGACTAACCTGAACCAGACAGAACTATAAATTCGCACGAGACACAGTTAATACAGCTTCCAGTGGGTCACGAGTCACACTTATTTTTGTTGAGCCTCTGTTACAGGTTTCAGGTATATGTTACTTCATACGCGGGTCTATAGCCCTGCTTCAAGGCTGTACTGAAGGCAAAGCCCATGGACTAGACTTGCACAAGTCTCTGAGGTAAATATTAATAGTTTAAATGGTTTAAATGATAATTTCTAAACAATGATAAAAAACCTCTAGATCTTCGAAGGATAGAATTACGTATAGTAATTGTATGCATAAGGACGCCAGTCTGTTATAGCTTGTTATTTTGATTTATATTTTCTAGAATTTATCAATTACACTAATAATTATTGCTTCAGAGACTTGTGGAAGTCTGGCGGGTGTAGGGAGGTGGGTTTTTTGATAACCGTCAAAATACTTTATATGTATGTGACATTCATTCATTCATTCATTCTCTTACAAAACCAGGCAAACTGGATCTTTCCCTATCAAAGCAAAGCGACTTGATGTATATCAAAAATTAAAGTCAAGATTATTACAAAGCGACCTCAACAAAAAATCAATAAAATAAGTTGCACTATTGGTGAAAAAAGTTTCGTTATTTTTGGCCCGCTCTCCCTCCAGCTTGTTGATGATGGAAGTGACAAAATAAGAATACCCATAGTTTTGAGACGACCCCGCAGCATAAACAAACACGATGGGATTATCCCTGGGCCAGCTGCCGGATAAGTAGAATGTCACCGATTTAGAAATAATGTTTGCTTAAATATGTTTACTTGTCCAGAAGGATTAAAACAAAGAAGGGTTTTGATTGACTCGCTTCCTCCTTGTCCAGCAGGGCGGTGGGGTAAGACAGTGGTTAAAGCGTCTCGTCACGCCGACTGACTTCGATTCCCCACTTCTAAACGTGTGTTAAAGCCCATAGTTTATACTGGTACATGTATATACATGCATATTGCTGGAATATTTTTAAAAGCGGCGTAAAACTAATCTCAGGCCAGTCAGTCAGTCTTTTCCATCATTAAGTTCCCAATCACTATGCTAAAACTGCACATGCTCTTAGTTAATCCCTAAACATATCTATTTTCACCTAAGCCACTGCACTATTTGGGAATTAATTGCGGGTGAGGTGTTTTAAACAAAATAACACAGTTAACCGCCAAACGAAAAAAACACCACTATTTTGCAAACAATATCTGAACTGAACTAATGTCGCCTAGACGTTTGTATAGACACTTTGAGATACTCACCCAAGTCTAACATAAAACAAAATATGTGATGAAAAACATTTTGTCTGTATGACTATCATGAGCTAAAACAGTAACATTCACGAGTGTTTTGAGGGCGGATGAACAATAAAGTGAACAGCGGTCAGGTTACGGAACATCTGACAGTTCAGCCACGTGACAAGGTCTGTGTCGACAATATGGTGTTAAATTACCAATATGTCTTGCTTAAGGTATACATTGGGACGTATTGCAAATCGAACACAACAGCTGATCAATAATTGTATTTCATTCTGACGACGGCGGTAACTTTGTTATGAATATTATTCTGGTAAACAGCCATGGCAACCAGACATTGTTTTGCACATTACTTGTCCTACTATATGTAGGTTCGCGACGGCATTGGCCTGGGTGCATATGTCCTCAAAACGGAGGGTCACACCAAGAATTGCTGTTATTTTCGTTGAAATAGCTCCCCGCACTTGTATGGAATCATCTTGCTTGTTGCAGTAACGTTTATCAATTTGAACATTTTTTTAAAACCGAGAATCAATTTCCTATCCGCTCCTGCAGCTCTAAATGTTGCCGACAATCTGTCGGCATGAGAAACTGTCGGCTGGTAGGTTGTCTGGGTCAGGCTGACACTCACTCAGTGCATGTATATCTGTACAGACAGTGCATGTATCTGTATAGACAGTGCGTGTATATCTGT